TTATCAGGACACTCTCCTTCAATCAGTAACTCCTGAAAGCCTCATCATACCCATAGATGATTCATGAAAACTTTGACTCCTCCTGGGGCAGGTCACTGTTACTTGGAAATGAAAGTGGTACAAAGTTTACGCGTTGGTACAATGACATCTATCCAGCCTAATTTCACACACATAATTGAGTGAGAAGGAAGAGAATGGAGGGAGAGAGAGAACACACAAATAATAAAGCAAATGAGGTAAAATGTTAACAATCAATGTATCTGGGGAAAGCATATACAAATGTTCTATGTACTATTTTTTATCATGCTGTTTTGCAAGTTTGAATTTACTTCCAAGAAAAAAAAGATTAAAACAATATATTTGGACTAAGAGAGCCGGAATAAGTTTAAAGCACTTCACTGTATAAACCTGCATCCAGAAGAAGGCCCTGGCACCCAGCTCAGATGGGTGTCAGTGTTCCAGATGATGGTGGTCACTATGACAATTCTATTGCCTTAATAGTAATAAATGGGCAATTCTCCAGCAATAAAAAAGCTAAATTGCTTATGTTACAAACCTGGGAGAATGACAGAGAATTTCCTTATTGCTTGCGCTGAGAGGAAAGGAAAGGAAAGTACAGGTTTGGTTCTTGTTGACAAGGCCAGTTTGAGGTTTGGCATGTGTTTTTCCAACATCTGCACATCCGAACAAGCAGGATTTTATCAGGACACTCGCCTTCAATCAGTAACTCCTGAAAGCCTCATACGCATAGCTGATTCATGAAAACCTTGACTCCTGGGTCAGGTCACTGTTACGTGGACATGAACGTAGCACAGACAAGTGCCATCTATTATGTCCAATGGCAAAATTTCAGGATGACCCAAGGCATGTTTAATAGATAACATATTAATATATATGACCAGAGTGATAGCGGGCATGGGAGAGGACGCAGTGTCTGCTGACCTCATGGTGGACTTTAGAAAGGCCACAGCATCTGATCTCACTCCCCAGAAGTGCTCACCACCCCTACACATCACCTGTGGGATCCACTGAGGAAGAAGTGACTGGGACTCAGTCTCTTGCCCATGCTATGTTTGGTCCAACATGGATGGCAGTGATTTGCTCTCTTTACCACACACAGATGGTTAAGTGTTTGGCTGTTAACCAAAAGGTCAGCAGTTCAAACCCACCAGCCACTTCACAGGAGAAAAGAGTTTGTTCAAGCACACTTCCTGGGCAAATAGAAACCTCTCCCTGGACCTCACCTACTTTCTGGGATGGGTGAAAGTACAGGTTGCACTTTATGGCCAAATCTCCAGTTTGGACTGTGGAGTCATGAAGCTAAGTGTCTTATCTTAATCTTTTATATGATAAAGATGGGGCTATTTGGGGGATTCAGAAGTTCAACCATGTAATGAAAGTGACCTGCCTCTTTGCCAGCATGTGTAAAACCAAACGGAGACACTGTGTATGGGGAGTTAAACTTGGGCGGCAAAACAGGCTTGTGGTCACAGCCAAACTTCATTCTGTTTCTTTCCTCGGCATGCCATAGCAATCCTCCGAGAAGGGAGAGTGGAGAACAAGAGTCTACTCTTTCTGCACTGGAGCTGGAAAGTTCCTCTGGCCATGAGTCAAAGTGGTACTAAAAGGTGGGAAATGGAGAAGAAGAGAGAGTCTGAGAGGAAGGCAAGGGGCAGCAAGTGGAAGACTAAGTAGGAGAGAGAGGAAGTCTCTGCTGGGGACTGTGACCTTGGAAGAAGCTGTCAGCACACAGGGAGTCCCCGACTTATGATGGGTTTCATTCCTATGACTCCGTCGTAAGTTGGTTCTGACATAAGTCGAATACATCATTTTTTTTAGTTTTCATTATTATTGCCTTTTATTATCGATGTCTTTATAAATCCAACCTTTATTTGTCTTTGAGGGTAGAAACATTACATATAAACTTACAGATATATTTCGGTATATACACATTTAAAAAAACACACAAATCATAAAAATTTACTCTGACAATGTAGAAGAGTTGCATAACGTTGCAATTTTGTCAGTTGCGGTAATAACTGCACTTGAGAAAGGTTCTGGACGATCTGGAATATCCCTGGGATTGGGGATGGCGTTTCTAGTCAGAAAGTCAGTGAGCATTTTCTGTATGGTCCTTTTTTTTCTTTCTTCATTTATTTCGTGGTATCATCTCACTGCCTCCTGAATCTGCCTAGCAACTTTAGCAAAGCAATCAGCGTTTGGGTCCATGTTTTCAAGCAACTGAAGTCCTTGATTTGGCTTAGAAAAAACTTCAGCTAATCCTTTCACTGTAAATTTTTTTAACAATTTCTTTCCTTTCTCTGGTAGATAGTCTTCATCTTATATTATCTGGTCCAGTTCATCACTGAATTTTTCAGCAGCTTCAGCATCGGCACTTTCTGCTTCTCCGGTTATACGCATGTTATGTAAGCCGAATCTGCGTTTGAAGTGATGAAACCAGCCCTTGCTTTCATTAAAATACCTGTGGTAGTCTTCTCCTTGCTGTTCCTTCAGGTTTTCAAAAAGCCTGCATGCTTTCCTTTGAATCGTCGGTAAGCTCAAAGGAATCCTCTTTTGGACTTGGTCTTCTATCCAAAACATCAACAATTTCTCCATCTCATGGATTGGCCCTTGCCTCTTCTTTGTTACAATTGTCGATTTTATGCCAATCATTTCTTTAGCTGCGTCCCAAATCTATTATCTTTCATGATTGTCAAAATGGTAGATGAGACGATCCTTCCTCACCTGCTATTTTGCTGACATTCTTTCCATTACTATAGGGCTTAGTGATCTTCATCTTTATGTCCATGTCTAGATCCTTCCTCGCCTTCTTTTCTGGATTAGAACTTTCAGTGGCAGGACTTCTTCTGCTAGACATATTGTTGGGGGTATAAACAGTGCAGGTGTTACAGTTAGAGAAACCTGAATAACTCAGCTTCAAATTAGCAACTGTTGTTTCTTATGGCAGGAAATGCTAAATAAGATCATGATATAGGCCTGGTCTACACTGAAGTCGGCATCAGTGTCCTAACAATGAAGTCAGAGTTGTAGCGGCCATCGTTAGAGTTGAACATTGCCCAACTTTCTATGTGTCACAACTCCTGACACTGACATCATTGTGGACCGGGCCATAGCCTGCTATACGGCAGTGTTTTGAACAGTAAATATAAAATTGAACATCTGCAAGTGAACATCTGAGAATGATAACATCAGCAAGTTACGTGCTGCAACATTGTATATAGTACAATGTAGTACATATTACTAACGATAAGATGTACCAAAAAAAAAAAATGGTTGATGGAAGCATGGTTCGTTGTAACTCGAATATGTCATAAGTCGGGGACTACCTGTAGACCCATGGAGGTCAGGCAAGTAGACAGCAGGTCCCGATGCTACCCTATAAGCTGGCCAGGGTTGAAGTGAGCCAGTGAGAATATGCCCAGCCCTCCAGCCAATGGGTCCTGCAGAGGATTTGTGTTAACCACCTTGTAACAATAACCCTGACGATTACTTACTACGCCTCTACAACGTTCCAAGAACCATGCTGAGCACTTGACGTGCATTACCTTATTTAGACTCACAACAGCCTGTCCCCTTTCTAAAGATAAGGAAACAGAGGCTAAAAAAAGTGGCCTGCCAAGGTCAAAACATTTGTAAGTGGTGGAACTGGGATTTGAAATCAGGACAGTTTGACTCCAAATCTTATATACTTTTTTGCCACACTGTACACACTTACACTAAATGAATAATTTATTTCCTAAGGATCAGCACAAAGCTGGTTCCTATGAGGTGGAGGTTAAAGATGCCCCAAATGTCCATCTTTTCCAAACTGCTGTCCCACTCCATCATCTCTAACATCAACTACTCCTCCTCCCCTCCTCCCCTCCTCCCCTCAGTACTCTCCCTCTCATCTTTGGGTTCCAGAATTTGCTGAAACGTCTCACAGAACTCGCAAACAATATCAAGGAAACAGCACATGCGGTTGTGGAGGCTGGCAAGTCCCAAATCCGTGGGTCAGGCATAGGCTTCTCTCATCCCACATGGCTGCAGGGGCTGACAAACCCAAGCAGGCAGGTCAGACCACAGAATGCTGGTGAATCGGGTCAGCTGATAGGCCGCCAGCCCATAGGGCTGCAGAAGCTGGTGAATCCCAGAATTGGTAGGTCAGACAGCAGGTCCCTGGGTTAAGTCCCAAGAACCGGAAGTCAGACAGTGATGAACCAGAGGCAGCATTCAAATGCAGAGAGAAAGAGAGCCCCACCAGAGTACCCACATGTATACCTTGGATGCGGGCCACACCTCCTCCTGCAAGGCTCTGACTCAAGATACACCCTACACTAATCCTGCCTCATTAACATATAGAGTTTAGGATTTACAACATATAAAATGGAGGATAATTACATCAGATCATAAAATGGAGGACAACCTTACAATAGTGGGAATCATGGCCTAATCAAGTTAACACATAACCCCAACCATCACAGGTTGCATATACCTTATTTACATAGTCCCACTCAATCATTGTGTGTGAGTCACAAAGACCACGACTAGAAGGGCCATGTTAAGCAATTCATCGCACCACATGCACACATGCGCACACATGGATGCACATGCATGCAGATTATTTGATTTTACAGCCTCTTCTTCAAAAAAATAGAGGAGCTTGGCCTAGTTTGATGTACTTGTTCCTAGGCAGTCTGCAGCACAGCAGCAAAAAAAGACATAGTGCAGGTTGGCCAGAAACCACTGAGAATCCTAAGGTAAGTGTGTGTTATCACCTGGCCAGGATTAGCTCCAATCTGGCTGTGTATGTTGGCAGGGGATCCTTGTGATGACTTCAGAGTCCTGGTATGAGGTGCCAAAGAGGTCAGAGGGTTTGCTGAAAACCGGTAAGTCACGTGAGTTAGAACTATCAATGGCAGAGACTGGGTCCAGGGCCAGGGAATGGCCAGTCTTTTGCCCCCTGGGTCATTTGCTATCTTCTTCCTTTGTCTTTGCAGCCAATCTCCATTTGAAGCCCAGGGCAGTGGCTCTGGGGGAGCAGCCAGCCTATCACGGGCCTGTGCACTGCATGGCAACGATTGTGCGGAGTGAGGGCCTGGGAGGCCTGTACCGGGGTGCCGGCGCCATGCTGCTGAGGGACGTCCCAGGCTATTGCCTCTACTTCATCCCCTATGTGTTCCTGAACGAGTGGATCACACCTGAGGCCTGTGCGGGCCCCAGCCCCTGTGCTGTGTGGCTGGCGGGAGGCATGGCAGGTAAGGGCAGCAGGGCTGGAGCCCATTGCCACACCAGCTACTGCAGTGGGACAGCCTAGGAGTCTGCCATACCCTTCCCAGCCCTGGGGAGGGCAGGACTCACCTGGCCACTCACTCAACAGTTCTGTGTGCCAGGCCTGTCAGGCAGGTAAGGGGCTGGGAATGGGGAATGTTCCCCCACATTTCCCCATTCCCTTCCTTCTGGCAAGGGAAATGGCAAGTACTTATTTGGGCTCACCCAACTTTCAGTCACTAGATATATTTTGAGCACTTAATCTGTGTCAGGCATTACTGAGCTTTGATAAGGAAATCATGATTCACCTTTTTTGAATATCTGCTCACCGTAAACCTTTCTAGTGTAAGGATTTTGTTAGTCCTATAAGGTAGGAATCAATCTCTTCTTTTTTTCAAATAAAGAAACTAAAGTTCAGAGAGTTTAAGTAACTAATCCAAGGTCACACTGCTAGTGCAGACAGGATAATGAGGCTCTGCAGTCAGAAAGATCCAAGTTCAAATCCACATGGATTTGTTTTCTGACCCTGGGCTGGCTGCTTAACCTCCCTGTATGTTAGTTTCCTCATCAGTAAAATGGAGCATATTATTAGCTGTGTGGTAGGGTTGTTGTGAGAATTCAAAAAGGCTGTGTATGATCAAGTGCCTGGATCATAATAAATATGGAATAAATTTATTCATCTATTCATTCAAAAAATATGTAGAGGCCTCCCTAAGATACCATTTGTTTACAAACTTGAAGATTATCCAGGCAGCAGGAATAGCAAGTGCAAAGGCCCTGTGGTGAGGAGAGTGCCTGGCATATTCAAGTTGCAGCAAAGAGTTCAGAGCAGCTGTAGCGGAATGAATGAGAGGAGAGGAGCAGAAAAGGAGATCAGCAAGGTAGCAGGGAACCAGGTCATGAAGGGCCTTGAAAAGCATTGCAAGGACGTTGATTTCTACCCTAAATAAAATAAGAGGTACTGCAGGGCTTTGAGTAGGGGAGTGATTTGTGATTTTAGGATTTGTGTTGTTAGAGGATTACTCTGGCTGCTGTGAGGAGAGTCGATGTTAGAAGCACAAGAAACACCAGGTAGAAAGTTATTTCAGTAATCAAAGCAAGAGATGTTGGGGGCTCGGACCCAGGAAGTATCTTTCCGTGGATGTGGTGAAAAGCACTAGGTGCATTTTGAAGGTAGAGTCAGCGGGATTTTCTAAAGGACTGTATGTGAAATTTGAAAGAAAAAGAGGAGTCAAGGATGCTTCCAAAAATTTTGGCCTGAGAAACTGGAAAGACGGATTTCCATTAACAGAGATGGGGCTGCATGGGGAGGAGCCAGTGGGCAGCTGGTCTGGGCCACATGTGTTTGAGATGCCAGTTAGACATCCCAGGGGAGATGCTGAGTGGGATGCAGAATCCTGGAGCTCAGCGGAGGAGCCTGGGCTGGAGACGTGTGTTTGGGAGCCGTCAGCATAAAGGTGGTATTTAGAGTCACGAGACTGGGGAGATCACCTAGGAGAAGAGGCAGACAGGGTCAAGGACAGAGCTCTGGAGCACTACAGCCTTTAGAGATGGGGAGATGATAAGGCCCCACAAAGGGGCAGATGATGAGTGAGAAGGAGTGGGCAGAGAGAAAGGAAGAAAGGAGGGAGGGAAGAAGGAAGGAAGGAAGGAGTGAGTGAGGTGTCCTCGAGCCATGTGAAGGAGTAGGAAGAGCTCAACCATGACAAATGGTTGAGAGGCCAAGTAAGGTGAGCGATGACAAAATTGACCATTGTATTTAGAATGTGGAGTTTGCAAGGACTTTGACAAAAGTCATTTTGGCGGAGAGAAGGATATGAAAATCTGATTGAAACAGAATCAAGTGAGAATGCCAGTTAGACATCCTAGGGGCGATGTCGAGTGGGATGCGGGATCCCATTCCCTTCATGCAGGTGAAAGGAATTGGAGAAACCAAGTGTACGAAAACTCCTGCATGATTTTGCTGTAATGGGAACAGGGAAATGAGCTCTAGCTGGAAGGGGAGCTGGACATCAAGAGAGAATTGCTTTTTAAGCAGGCTGATATCATAGTGTGTTTGATGCTGATTGGAAAGCTACAGTAGAGAGAAGAAAATCGATATTGTTAGTCCTCCTCCTTCTCCTCTTCCTCTTCAGCTGTGTTTTAAACTCCTAATAAACACATAACAAGGTCCACATGTTTACCGCTAACCAGCAGTGTTCTTGCTCTGCCCCCAGGTTTCTGAAGCCTGGATGGTGCTTGGCTCATAGTGAGTGCTCCATGAGTACTTGTGGGTGGGACGACAAACAAGGCTGCCGTCTGCTCTCATGTCTGCTGAGAGCAGGTGTGGGTGGCCAGGCAGGCAGATCTCATTTGAGGTGCCCTCACCCATGGCTTCGGGGACAGGGGAACATATCAGGGTAGCACTTGAGCCGACTCGTGGGGAAGTGGTCCCTTATCCCTGCAGATAAGGGTGTTGAGGAGAAGAGGGCCTCCCAGCGGGCCGTGGGCAGAAGTCCGAGAGGGCTGGAGGCTGGGATGGGCAGAGGGCCCAGGGCAGGCTGAGGTCTCCTTTGGGCACCCCTGGGCAGTAATTACAAAACCTAGCAAACCAGCTGCCCTGGACTTTGGCATCAGTTTGTTTTTCTCTCCCAACCCAAGAATGTGTCAATTTGTGTGTTTACACAATAACCTGGTGCTGTTTTCCTAGAGTCCATTAAAGTCACAAAAGTTTCCGAACTACAGCACCTGAGCTTGTCCTGTGAGGCTGACCCAGTGGCACATGGTCCGAAGGCTTCTATCCCATAATCTGGAAAAGAGATGTTTAAAGATCTGCCTTTGCTCTTTTTACAGTCTGGCTGGCCCTTCCTTGGCATGCAGCCTATCTGCAAATATTTGTTTAGCTTTTTTGTGTTCAGAGTAAATCCTGCCTCTGGAGAGCCGCAAATCTTCAGCCTCAGGCTCTCTCTCCTGGCAATGGTGCCACAAAGTATTTGTGGGGCCTGTTAGTGTTTCAAAGGAGCCCTGGTGGCTCAGTGGATAAGTGCTCAGCTGCTGATCGGAGGGTCAGCAGTTCCAGCTCACCATCTGCTCCTCAGGAGAAAGATGTGGCAGTCTGCTTCCATAAAGATTACAGCCTTGGAAACCCTATGGGGCAGTTCTACTCTGTCCTATAGGGTCGCTATGAGTCAGAATTGACTTGATAGCAGTGGGGGGAGGGGTGTATTGTTTCTACAGTAAAAACTGCTGATCAAAGCTGCCACTTATTGAGCACTGGCTGTGTACCTGCCACTGTGCTAGATGCTTTATGTGCATCATCCGTGTGGCCCTCACAACCACAAGAAGCTAGGTACCGCCGCTCCATCGTACAGATGAGGGGCCCAAGGCTTAGAGGAGGCCAGAGACTTATGCAAGTCCTACAGCAAATGGTGGAGGGAGAATCAGGACCCAGCCTTCCCAGGTCCTAACCCTGAGTCCAGTCTCTGACCCCTGTTTGTCTCTCTCTCTCTTTTTACAGGAGCAATTTCTTGGGGGACAGCCACTCCTATGGATGTTGTGAAAAGTCGACTCCAGGCTGACGGGGTTTATGTCAGCAAATACAAAGGTGTCCTGGACTGTATCTCCCAGAGTTACCGAAAGGAAGGTCTTAAAGTAAGCTCCACAGCAGGCATGCGGGGTCCAGTCCCTGGAAGGTGGTTCAGACATTTGGGGGAGTGTGAGATGATAGAGAAGGGAATCCAGAAACCAAGGGGGTGACGGTTATCATTTTCTAACACTACAAGTGGGCACTGCAACAAGACCCTCATGTGTGTTACCTGTCTAACCCCACCCCAGGCAGGTAGAAGCAGTATGTGTGTGCCCAACTCACAGAGAGTCAGAGAAGACTAGTAACCTGCCTGGGGTCACACAGCTGCTGCATGGCAGAACCAGGTCCTGGACCCATGTCTGTCTGTCACCAAAGCCTGCAGTCTCATCACAATAGGGTGGGACACCCTGCCTCACTTACTGCTCACCCTCTCCCCTCCCCCAGATGGGAAGTTCCAGCACCATGTTCCAGCCTTCCTATGCCTCAGGCATCACATCTTGCCAGCTCTGATCTGTCTTCTGCTCTCCCACTCCACCCGAGTCCAGGCCCCATCAGCTCTGGTCTCAGCTATTGAGGTGGCCTCCAAGCCTCCAGCCTGGTTCCTTAGGCCTTGTCTCTTTTCTCTGTTCTCCCCACAGCCAAAGGGCTGGTCCTAAACACAAGTCTGATCATACCTCTCCACCTCCAAATTGTTCCTGAACAAAGCAGATTTCCATATCTACTGTCCAAGGGTTATAAATGAGTTCATTTCCATCTACCTCACCTACCATGACTCCCACTGGCTCCCTCCAGAGAAGCCATGTGGCTCACTCTTCCTCAAATAGGCCCCCTTCTTCCTTGGCATGGCCCTTGGAGGCAGCAGACTTGAGTTCAAAGGTAGGCCCAGCTATTCACATGTGAGGGACTCCAGGCAAACTGCTTCACCTCTCTGGGCCTCAGTTTCTCCAAGGGTAATCATCCCTACCACGAAGGACACGGTTGTGTGTGGATCAAATTAAATAATGCACACAAAAAGTGCTTAGCTTAATGCATAACGCAGAGGAAACATTTGGAAAGAGTTAACCATTTTGTAATCAGTATTAGTACGAATTTTTATTAGTTGTTGTTGTTATTGTTAGGTGCCGTAGAGTCAGTTCCAACTCATAATGAACTTACATCTAACAGAATGAAACATTGCGTGGTCCTATACTATCCTCACAATTGTTGCTATGTTTGAGCCCATTTTTGCAGCCACTGTATCAATTCATCTCACTGAGGGTCTTCCTCTTTTTCACTGACCTTCTACTTTACCAAGCATGATGTCCTTCCCCAGGAATTGGTCCTTCCTAATAACATATCCAAAGTACATGAGATGAAGTCTCGCCATCCTCTCTTCTAAGGAGCATTCTGGCTGTATTTCTTCCAAGACAGATCTGTCTGTTCTTCTGGCAGTCGATGGTATATTCAGTATTCCTCACCAACGTCATAATTCAAAGGCATCAATTCTTCGGTCTTCATTATTCATTGTCCAGCTTTAGCATGCACGTGAGGTGATTGAGAACACCATGGCTTGAGTCAGGTGCACCTTAGTCCTCAAAGTGACATCTTGGCTTAGCAGTAGTACTACTTTTATTGGTGTTAGTGTTACTACTGAGCTCTGAGCCTTTTCTCACATGGCTCCCTCACACCAGCCCTGCCAGATAAATTCTACTCATCCTTCAAGGCCCAACACTGTTCTCCACCTCCTGTCCCCAGAACCCATGTCCTACACTGCTCTTTTCCTGTCCTACCCCTCATGGCACTTTCACACACCACCTGCCACATGTCCACCTCTTGCTAGAGCAATTGCCATGAGGTCTTGTTTTACTTCTCCCCCTAACTTGGGGAAGGATCCAGAGCTTAGATGACCCAATGTTGAGGAAGATAGTGAATTCGCTGTCTGAAAGAGACAAAATTCAAAATGACCCCCAAAGATAGATCAAAGGACCAAATCTAAAGGGCAGAACTACAAGAAGTCAATGCATAGTCCTGCCCTTACTATTAAATAATCAATTGCCCTGTACAGTATGGAGCCATCTGATTTTATAATAGTTCCTGGGGAAAAAACACCTGGGGCGTTAGTTCTCACAAGTTCAATGTTAATTTGACAAATACTTCTTTTTAGAGCACTTGGAACGTGCTAGGCATGGTTCTAGGAGCTGGGGACACAGCAGTAAACAAAGAGACAAAGTCCATGCTCTCATGAAGCTCATGTGCTAGTAAGCCGGCAGTCGGACCTATTCCCAAGGCGACATTAATGAAATACAGAGGGTATAGTAAGGGAGGTGGAAGTCTCTGCCCTTATCAGATCACGGTTAGAATGTTGCATTTACCTTTGGTTACCATCCATTAAGCAAAACACTGATTGTGCCCCGAGGATGAAGATGAGGACTTGGACATCATATCTTAATGAAGAAAGGCTGAGGGACTGAGATTGCTTAGTATAAAACAACGTGATAAAGAGGGAATTTCATTTCTGTCTTCATGTTTTAAGGGTGGATAAACTTAGAATTTTTCCATTCTCGTTATTTAATTTTTTTTTCAATAAGAGCTGCTCTGACAGAAGCGTACAGCCTCAATTGTCCTTTTCGTTTTTTTTAAGCGGAAACACAGCGATTTAGCCAACAATAGGCACAGAGGGACGCAAAAGAGAGATTCAAACTGGATGTGCTGTTTTTATTTGAGATGTTTTTGTCTGTTTCCCAAAGTATTCATGTGTCATAACTCTAAAAAGGCTGTAGAGACAAATATATATCGCTAATATTATTTCCTCCCAAAGTTACTGTGCTCTGTAAAAAACAAAGTCCTAGGAGGAAGCTGAGGCCAGATAGTCAATGTCTCAGTGTCAGTGGTGTTGGATCTACAGCGAATGTTCAGAGGTAGGTTTCGAGCAGAGATAGAAATGCTCGGCTTGACTGGCCACCTCATTCACTACATGGTTCTCAACTAAATATATATATATATAAATTAGTTTAAAAAGTAGATAATAAATGAAAGTGGAAAGCTTCAAAAGGTACAAGAGGCTGTACTGTCTAATTGTTCTTCTTGAGGTCTTCATTCCTCTCCTCAAAGGTAATCACTGTTACGAGTTTCTTGTGACATATTGCAAAAATACTCGCAGCATGTGGAAGCATATATGTGTGCGTATGTAGATACAGGAGCCCTGGTGGCGCAGTGGTTAAGAGTTTGGCTGCTAACCCAAAGGTCAACAGTTTGAATCCACTAGCCGCTCCGTGGAAACCCTATGGGGCAGTTCTCCTCTATCCTATAGGATCACTATGAGTCGGAATTGACTCGATAGCAACGGGTTTGGTTTTTGGCTTATGTAAATATATGCACATTTGTATATACGAGTGTATATAAATAGATAATCCATTGCCTTCGAGTCAATTCCGACTCATGGCAACCCCACATGTTACAGAGCAGAACTTCTCCACTGGGTTTTCTTGGCTGTAATCTTTATAGAAAATCACCTGGCCTTTCTTCCCTGGGGCCTCTGGGTGGATTTGAACTGTCATTCTTTAGGTTAGTAGCCAAGGGCAAACTGTTTGTGCTACCTAGGGACCCATAAACATAGATAGTAACATGAAAAAAAAAATAAAACAAAAAAACCATGAAGTCCTGGAAAGTTGGGTTTTCTCAAAGGCAGATTTCAGCAGCAGTGGAGAAGCGCCTTTTCCCAGGGCCCCAGGGACAGTGACAGGTCCCAGCTGGATTGGACTCTGGCTTAAAAAAGCACCTGTTCTCAAATATTTTTTCCTGTGGCTCACTGAAGCAGGGCATGAACCCCTAAGCCTGTCATTACTCAACCTGTTACACTTTCCTATGGAAGAACCTAGTGATCATAAAGAATTGAAAAGGAATAAAATGTTGAAAATGATGCCCAATTTTCATAACCCTTTGTAGCACACTTCATGATCACCTGTAAAAAACCAGTTGCCGTCAAGTCAATTCCGACTCATAATGACCCTATAGGATGGAGTAGAGCTGCCCCATAGGGCTTCCAAGGAGCACCAGGTGGATTCAAACTGCCGACCTTTTGGTTAGCAGCCGAATTCTTAACCACTGCACCACCAGGGCTGCATGATTACCTGTAGAGCAGCCTTTATTCTAGCAGAAACTGAAAGTCCATGGATTTGTGGCCCATTCCTGCATAAACACAGAAGGAAGGGCTGGAAGTTGTGGATCCATTCTGGGCTGACTATGAGGGTCCTCTTGGACCACATGGGTGGTAGGCCATATTTGGGAGAGTTATTATATGAAATAAGGAGTCTGGAGGAGAGGCATGGTGTCCTTTAAGCTCACAGTGGTGACTGTTGTGAAGGAGCTTGTGATAAAAGGATGATACTGTATGACTCTAGGGAGGGACCTGGAGGAACATTTGCAGGTGGACAAGTTTCCTGAGGCACCTGGGTCAGCCGCCCTATGGTTCTGCCCCTCAAGGGTCGAAGCCCTCCCCCACCTCCAGGAATCTCCCCTCCACCTCTGGACTGTATCTTTCAGCTCAGAGACTGTTCCTTCTATGTGTCCGGGAGTTCAGTCATCCATCCGCTCATCCAGCTGCACTTTGATTCATTTAACAATGAATCTGCTCTGGGCCAAGTCCTGTGCTGGGTGCTGGGGATTCACAGGCAAACCACACAGACCACCCTGTCTCACTGACCTGACTACTGTGATTCATGGGAGACAGACAAGCCCTGGGAGAGAGGACAGTGTGGGAAGAGCTATGATGGGAGTGTTCAGAGGTGACAGGCCATATCCGACTTGAGGTGGCATGGAGGGCTACCAGAATCCTCAGGCCAGGTTTGGGGAATATTCCAGGCTAAAGGGATCCAAAGAGGCACAGTGGGAAGAAGCAGGCACCATAGAGGAATGACAGGCCTCTAGCCCACCCAGCGTGTCAGATGGGAGAGATAGCCCGGAGATGGCGTGGGGCCAGCACATGGGGCACCTTGCAGACCACTGAAGGGGTATAGACGTGACCCAGGTGCTGGGGAGTCATTGAGGCTTCGGGGAGAGTCTCAGTCTGGTGGGTATTTTTTCCTGAAAATGCAGGGTAATAGCCACCTGGTCTGCACTTTGCTTGCCTTCTTTGGGCCTGGCCGCAGCTGCTGGAGGGCAGGCATGTGGCCGGTTTGAAATGGCCCAGGGCTCCTGCAGGGCCCAGCGCTGCAGGAGGCTCACACTCCCAGTGAGGTCCTGCCTGGCTCGGCCTCTTGGAGTGGAGCCAAGCCCAAGCCCACAGGGAGCCTCTGCGGGCAACCCTGTGGAATTTTCCTCTCGGAGCCTGACCCAGTTCCTCGCTGTTATTCAGTCACTCTGGGTGAGCCTGTGGAATTCCAGAGAGGTTAGATGTTAAGGAGGGGTGCTAATGTTACAGGGATTCTTCCTGGGCTCTGTCAAAATGACTCCAGGGTTTGGCTGAGCCACTCAGCTCACCTCTGGGGTCCTGGTTCATCAGCTCTCTTTCCTGGAGCCAAGGCTCCTCCCAGGTTCCACCAAGAACCGCCTTTCCTGTTTAAGCTGCATCTTCGAGGCTGCCACAACTTTCCAAGGTGAAGCCACCTTCCCGAAGAGAGGCCACCTGACGTCCTGGCCAATGACCCCAGCCAACCCCTGCCCCAACCACACAGTGCCTAGTGACTGGGAAACTGGGGACGGTCGAAGGGCTGGATGTCTACTGCTTTAAAACCACAGCACTTGGTCTATGTCTTAAACTTAGTAAATTACACAGGAGTCAGATAACAGATTTATATCTCACATCTGACAGTTCTTGGGTCATTTGTGCTTGAGTGGGGACTTGTCTATAGCTTTGTGTTTCTTCCCAGAGAGTACACTGTAGGACAGCCCTTCCCAGCCCCTCCCAAAGCCTTTCTCTGTTTTCGTCACTTTCTGGATCATAGTGTAATTCTTCATCATGGGCTTCCCTCCCCTGATGGGTTATAAACTGCCCAAGGGCAGGAACCACACAGCACATTTGTCAGTGTTCTCCCAGCACCAAGTGGGAAGGAAGCAGGGAAGAGAGGAAGATCATGGGAAGGACTGGGACGCATCTTTCCCTGGGGATGGAAGACAAATGTAGGCTTCTGGTAGTATTAATGGCAGAATTTAGCTGTTCATAAAGACAGGCAATTACTCCTCAGCACTCATACTAATAATCGAGGTTGAGTCCTAGTCTGGACTACCATATTTTTACTCGAATAACTCACAATTCTGCATTTGTTTGCCAACTGTGCCCCCCAAGTATTTTTGTAAATGCGCTATATCCATTTTTTTACATGCTGCTGTTAAAAAATTAGCATAGCACGCTTATGAAAATACTCCACGAGGGGGTTCGCAGTTGGCAAACAAATGTAGAGCGTGTACATTATTTGCATAAAAATATTATTTACTTTGATAATAATAATGATGATGATGGTGAATATTAACAGTTAATCATGCTTGCTGCATGTCACAGACTGTGTAGGTGCTTTAAAAGCATCATCTCACTTATTCCCTCGACAATTTTATCAGGTAAATACTATTATTACCCCCATTTTACAGTTTCGAAAATTGAGGTCCAGAGTGTGTGCCACTCGCCCAAGTAACATGGCCACTAGATGGCAAAGCTGTGCCTCAGCTCCATGTCTGCAGAGTCATAAGCACTGCCCAAGTTCTTCCCCATGCTGCTACTTTGGGGATGTACCATGAAGCAACTGTGACAGTGGCTGTTCATGCCTGGCGTTCTGTCCATCATTGCAGAGTGAGTGGAGTGGACAGTTAGGACCTCCAGATTCCAGAGAAGTGTGTGTGTGTGTGTGTGTGTGTGAGAGAGAGAGAGCAATTAAACACGTGTACATGGGTGTTTGCAAGATTCAACAGTTTGCCTCTAGTAGAGGATGTAGCATCAGAGTCTGGGAGAAAAATTGCCATCAGACATGACATGGGTGAGGGAACGGAACAACTAGGACACTCTGTAGTCCCCACCTGAACAGGTCCTTTGGGTTCTGGGGGTCCAGCCTGAGACAGGGGCCAAGGGTGGGGCAGCCCCCAGCCTTTTCCGCCTTGCAGAGGTGGCCCTGTGGAGTGAGGGCCAGTCCCCTGTAATAATCTGGCCTCCTGTGCAAAGGTTTTTTTCAGGGGCATCACTGTGAATGCTGTGCGGGGGTTCCCCATGAGTGCGGCCATGTTCCTTGGCTATGAGCTCTCGCTTCAGGCAATCCGCAGGGACCACACAGTGACGGACCCATGAGCCCAGGTCAGTGTGCTTCCTTCCCGGCCATTGGGGCTCCCAAGGCTTGAAACTCTTTTCCTTGTTGTGAAAATGTTTTGACCTTCTGAAATGTACCTCTGCCATTTGTTTTTGTCCAATCTGTGTTAGGTCTAGGCTAGAATTGCCACCCTTGTGGTCATCAGAAAGCACTTCTGAAATGCCCACCTGTGACAGTCAAGGGCATCAGTAATTGAGGCCAGCGCAGAACTGACCCATTCAGAGCAAGCTGACATTTTCCCACTCAGCAACTTTAACAGCCCTTGGAGAGAGGTGCTTTTAGCTTCACTGTGCAAATTCAATGACCAAGGCTCAGAAGTGAGGACTCGAGCCAGGGTGCCCACCCACTGCTCTCACAGGGCATCAGAGCCTGAGTCTGAGAGCCACCAACAGGTGCCCAGAGGCTTGGAGGGAGGTCTCTCTCATCATTCCTGCCTCCTACATTCTTCTTCCTTGCTCTTTGTAGAAAGATCACTGCAGCCTGAGGGATCTTCTAAAAGCAGGAATCTGATCAAGTGACTCCCTTGCTCAAAACCCCTCCATGGTTCCTCATTGCCCTCCAGATAAAGCATCAGCCTCATTTCTCACCACCACCCTAAACATATCATCTTCTTTCTCACCTCTAGGTCTTTGCTCATGCTGTTGTCTCTGCCTGACACCCTCTTCTCACTCCTCCTCCCATTATCCTTGGCTTCACCAACTCCCCTTTGTCATCCTTTGCCTTAGAAGTCTCCTCCTCCAGGAAGCCTTCCTGGATGCCTCAGCTGGGATGAGTTGTGCCTGCTGTAGACTCCCTCCCACAGCCCATTTTCTTCCTGTACCATATGATACTACATTACACCTGCCTGATTACGTTCCTCACTCCCAGCCAGTGTGAGGGTTCCAGGAGAGCTGCAATGACTTTTCCTACCTTTGTATGCCAGGAGCCTACCACAGAGCCTGGCCCATACATGGCTACTCAGAAACACTGAGGTGTGGATGGATGATCAACCTCCAATAGCCCCTCAGATCCTCCTCCCCCTCCTCTTGCTTCTTCTCCTTGGTGTCTCCTTCTCTGGCCTCAAACCAGTTACCTACAAAGCTCAGACAACAAACTGGGGTGTCACTAAATTTTCTAGTCAACCAAGAAACCATTTTGCATCCACCTTGGTACTGCAAATTCTCCCAAAAATTTTGGGGTCCACACCTACCCTCATCAGGATGTCTAAAAACCTGACCACTTCCTTCCCTCTGGGCTGGCAGAGTGTTTGTGGGTAGCAAAGTCCCCCTGGGATTCATGGATGGCATAGAAGATAGATGTAGGGAAAGGCATGGTCAGTCAGGCTGACCAGAGCAAGCCCAGGACAGGCCCTAGCAGTTGACTTTAAATAACACGTGTTTAACTTTTTACTAAAGCTCCAATATTCACAACTTTTCTACTCTTTGCCCTTTCTTATAAAAGGAGAAGGGTAACAACACATTTTACATAACTAAACATCTTGGGCGAAGAGTTAGTGTGTTAGGGTTATGTCCAGGGCAGGGGAGAGAAGTTACTTTGTTCTTAAAGCTGTGCTTAGATATCTGCCACTCCCCCCTTTTAATGGATAAAATAATTGTTCTAAAACTTCTGTAATAAAATCAGTGCATTTTATTGTAGAAAAAATAGAAAATACAAATAAACAGAACAAAATAAAAATACCTATAGTCCCAATACCTTGTTATTATTCTTCTGAGTGTTTTTTATGTGTGTCCCCAAAATGGGATCCTACATTATATAATTGCCTCATATGCGTGTGAAAGCTGGCCAATGAATAAGGAAGACCAAAGAAGAATTGATGCCTTTGAATTATGGTGTTGGCGAAGAATATTAAATACACCATGGACTGCCAGAAGAATGAACAAGTCTGTCTCGGAAGAAGTACAGCCAGAATGCTCCTTAGAAGCAAGGATGGTGAAACCATGTCTCACATACTTTGGACATGTGATCAGGAGGGAGCAGTCCCTGGAGAAGGACATCATGCTTGGTAAAGTAGAGGGTCAGCGAAAAAGAGGAAAACCCTCAAGGAGTTGAATTGACACAATGTCTGCAACAATGGGCTCAAACATAACAGCAATTGTGCGGATGGCGCAGGACCGGGCAGCGTTTCGTTCTGTTGCATGTAGGGTCGCTATGAGTTGGAATCAACTGGACAGCACCTAACAACAACAACATTACACAATGTTTTATAGCTCATTTCTCCAATTTAATAGCTCAGGACCATTTTTACATGTCATGAAGTCTACAAGATCTTTTTGATGCCCAGAGTTCACTTTCCCAGCAGTGGCTGGGCACTGACCAAGCAGTCGCCCTGACGATTCGTTACTTCAGGAGGAAGGAGGAAGTTTCTAGTAAGCCAGAGCCCTAGATTTGGCCTGTGAGAGCAGTGACCAGTCCCACTGGAGCAGTTTTCTTTCTGAAAGCACTCTCTGCTGGGTCGGGGAGGCTGGTCCCAGCTGGGTGGGAGAAGGAAGAGGTTCTGGAGAGTTTTCTGGACCCTTATCTTGAACAAGCCTCCCCCAAGGTATCCAACCTCTGCTCTAACCCCAGAGCTTCAAGGCTTTGTAGCATGTCTTGGACTTGAATTTACCAAGTGGCTCTGAGACTTTGGGCAGGTCATGAGCTAGGCAGCAGCAACATGTACTCTTTGAAGATGAGTCCAGACTGAAGAGAGCGAGAGGATGCACATTAGAGAACTTGGGAGCCCTGTATTTCCTAAGTAGTGGAGGGTGACTATCTCAAGAGCCCCAGGCAGCATGTGGCAGGGATTATGTGGGAATCCTTTCCAAGTGCCTGCAGAGAATAGAGTATCTAGATCCTTCCAATACCCAGGTACAGAGCTCTCCCTCAGCTCCCACAAAGCCCTGTGGAGGAAGAACACTTCCTTTTCGTTCATCTACTAAGTGATTTTCTCCCAGGCTGCACATGTTAGTGGCCCAAGGACTACTCAAAGCCCAGGAAACATCACATGAGGTTATCATTTCTGTAATTGTGGTCAGTTTTATCAGTTTGCACGGGGAAACCAGAATTAGGCAATACAAGCGAGGTGGCCTTTGGTGATAGAAGAGAAGCCAGCTGTAAGCGTTCAGGCTTGTCCGAGGCCTGTGAATCCAGCTGCACCAACCCTCCCCGCCCACCAGGACCCTGCCCCAGAACCTTCCTGGCATTGTGCTGAACTTTTCTCCCCCACGACATTTCCTGCTGCAGACCTCATTGGCCTACTTTCAATTTCAGGAAAATTCATTTCCAAGGACAGAAGATACATTCTTTCTAGACTATTTTTTCTGAACATTTTTAAATAACCACAGACAACCCTCACAGCCCTTATCCAGCCTGTACTCCTGGTGGTACTCTGCCCATTGCTGCTTCACAAAAATAGGCTCCAGATGGGTTCTTGCCCCATTGATCTTGCTGACCGATAACCCCGGTCAGATGAAGTTCTTATCTTTCCTCCTTTTTCCCAGGGCTGATGTCACCTGACCAGGACTCCATTCCTCTGACATGTCGATGCTGACTGCAGTGTCTCCAGAACCAGAGGTGGTCAATCCACTGAAGGGAAGGAGGGGCTTCCATCTCCAGTGAAGGCCCCCACCCGCAGATTCTGCCTTGTGGGCCTTCAGCCGCCCCTGGCTGGGACCCATGAGCTGCTGCCCTTAGAAGGGAGCACGAACCAGTGATGGATCACCACCTAGCTCAGATCTGGACTTGCACCCTGGGGAAAGCAGGTAAAATAGACCCTGCCCCATGACCATTGCACACTCACTGGAAATTCACAGAGGCGCTGGATTTGTCTCTAAGTTTCCAAATAAAAACACTGAGAACTTCTTCAAGGTTTTTCTGTACCAGATGCTTCTTCCGGGCTTCCGAAAGACACCTGACTGCCCCCTTTGTTCCTACCTCTGCTCAGACCCGTGTAGACATCACCAGCTCAGACGGAAATCGTCTCCCCACAGAGGAAGAACTAAGGAAGGCAGTCTCCTGTGTTTTTTCACAGATGCCTAAAGTAGGCAGGGGAAGGCCTAATGGTTGAAAAGACCTAGAAGGGAGAGAACGCCTTGTAGGAGCTCTCCCCTCCCAGGAACAGCAGCACTGAGCTTGGGTGGTGTGGGCCTTCTCTGGGCCTTATTTTCAAAGCAAATAATAATAATGTTTGTCCACAGTCTCATTTCCAGAATGATTGCATTATTTTAATCTCATTTCTCGCTGGAACTGTGTGGGGAGTGCACTGCTATTCTTCTGCTATGTGGCACATGGCCATGATGTCACTCCCAATGCTGTACCTACGACAGGCTTCCCTAGTCAATCATAGAACCCCTTCCTGATGAGGTGAATGCAGCTTCCAAGTCCTTCTCAGTGTAGCTCAGTGTACAGCCACCACAGTCAGTCAGAATTGGCATTCGAGGTGAATCTGTTTGCCATTGTTGGCTTAATACCTGGGAGGGGGGAAAAGTCCTCAAATTATTATTATTTTTCCCTTGAAAGGATCTTCCTCGGTTTCTCTCCCTCCTGCACAGGTGATTTGGAGCATGTCCGAAAATCGTCTGCTCTGAAAATCCTCACACCAAGACAGAGCACTGTGTTAGCAGAAAGAAAGTGAAAGCATTCATTCTCATCAGTTTAAATCTTGTTACTGTAGCAGAAGGGTCCTTCCTTGAAGAAAGACCCTATAATAAAAGCTATGTATTTTATACATATATGCCCCTCCATATGCCCTCCTTGAAGATCCTTCTCCTGCACAGCCCCTGCCTCTGCAGGGTGCCATCCAAACTCTCCATCCGTCCTGCAGGGGGACATTCATTCATTCAGGCTTCAAACATTTGCTGAGCACCTATTATGAGAAGGTGATGCCCTAGGTGTTGGGGACAGGTATGAGGGACTCCAGCGCTGCTTCCATTCTGGCGTTTTCCACAGGAGAGGGGGTCGCTTGCCCACCCCAGCATCACTAGGCAGGCACTGCAGATGCAGGGAAGAGCTGCTCAGTGGTGCCTAGTCATTCTTGATGGACCCAAGATCCTAGAACGTATTTCTTAAGCCTCCCTCACCTAGGGCACTGTACTGGTGCTGGTCCTGGTTGCTCAGTTTGTTTGGAAGTCTTGTTGTGTTCACAAGGCCTGCTGGGGTCTTCTACAGGATGCTTCTGATGAGACTGAGACCCAACTACAACCTTAGTCAAGTGTCAGACTCCTCCTAGGGTCTCTTGATGATAGGAGGAAGTAAGCAGAGGGGAGAAGTGCTGGCCCTAGTTTACAGACGAGGAAACTGAGGCTTCAACATACCCGAGCTCCTGCTGAGGATTTGGACCACCAATACCATTTGTCAATATTGCTGAGGCCACACTGCCCCCTGCTGTCCAACCCAGGGAATAGCACCAGCTGCAATGGTGATGCCCATTCCGTAGTGCACAAAAAGAAAGTTGCTGGGATACTAAACATAGAGTCTCAAACCTCCACTGAAGACCTTCCATAATCCACATCAGAGCTGCCCTTCCAGACTCATCTCCCATTACTCTGTTCCAGCGTACCTGTGCTCCAACTGTTTTATCTCATCCCATCTAGGGCCAAACAGAGCCAGAGCAGAAGGGGCACTCAAATGTTTGTTGAAGGTAAGACTGAGTGATTGAACAAACCACACTGAGCCTGTTGCCGCCTCTACCCTCCAGGATTTCCTTCCTCCATGTTTCTCTTCAGCCTGGACACCCTCACTCCCATCTCCAGGAATGGGAGCACTCCCTGTTCTCCGAGGCCCAACTCACA